ATTTAGTTGCCTACCCTGTCTAGAAAATGTGTGCACGCCACTGCCATTTGCGTAGTATTGTGTGTGGGCTATAAAATCTATTGTTTTTGGTATTATTACTGTCTTTATTATTTTAATTTATATTGAAGGAAAGTATGTTTATAGTATAACTATTGTGACACATTTTAAATTAAATTTTATATTTTCGGCTTACTCCCATAACTGTTCATCGAGGAACTTGATAAGTTTCAAGCTATGCTTGAAGCTGAGCAGTATTCCGCGGCACATGACGTGGCGACTGACGCGTTGCTACTGGCAGCAATAGTAGTTGTATTCCTTGTCAAACGGTTACGTGAGTACGCCGAAAACAATAATGAATAAAGTAAGGTAAATAGAAATACCTTCAACAGTATAGAAGTCGCCTGTCAAAGTCGCGTGAACTCCTGTAAAGATTTCTGATTTCGATGTGAAAAATGTGTTCATAATTTTATTCATCTCAGCTTCGATATCTGCGTTAATTGGAGAAGCCAGTGTTGCACCTATTTGAACAAATAAAAGACATATAATAAGAGAGGCATCAATGCATTTATGACAAATTACACTCTTTCGCGAAGCATAGTTTGGTAAACTATCTTAACTTTTACTGCTTAATTCAAGAATATTGCTATACCTATACACGTATCATTTTCGTTACTAAGTAACTGCCTGACAGACAACGTAACTACTGAACCGATACTACTAAACCTAGGAAGCTAAAACAACTAGGAAGCTCTCCGGCCACCTTAAGTACGAGCCTGCGGGCGGCGAGCATGGATAGCCAGACACAAGCGGCGCGTCTCGTTCAGCGCTATCAGACCACCTCAGACGAGGCCCAGTAGGGCTAATGCCGATACGGAACCGTGGAGGACTGATAGAGTTGTCGGGACCCCGGCTCAAGGAGCAGGAGTAGGAACGGGGTGGTTTTTAGTCAGAAAGAATCTGACACTCCCTTTTGCCTCACCCGGGCGGGAACAGATATTGAATGAATTTCTCTTCTTAAAAAATGTTCTTTGGGAAGTGTAGGAGAGCACGTAAAGATTTTCTGAAATTTCCACGAGAACGGGAAAGACGGAAAATACCAAAGCGAATTAAGGGCACTCCTGCTAACATTGCAGGGTGATATCATACTTATTAACTTTTTTATTTTGACAACGGCCTTTTTACCTCAGGTTGGAGGATGTAAACACATTATGCAATGTACCATCTACTTTTCAACAGTTTTGTTAGGAATCACAGTAATTCTTATTGGGACATAATTCGATTGGACCATGACTTTGCTTATACAGCGTGGAAGGTAAGGTAAGGTGATGGTAAAAAACAAGGTTTATCATAAAAGTTAGAAAATAAATAATTATTTTATGTAATAGATGTAGCTCAAGGCTTAAAATTGCATCAATAATTTATTCTCGTCAACAATTTCTTTCAGGAGCGTTCCGTTTTTTTTTATAAGCATAAGCCGGTAAACGAGCAGACGGATCACCTGATGGTAAGCAATTGGCGCCACCCATGGACATCCGGAACATCAAGGCGTTACACTTGTAACGGCCCAAAAGGCTGGTAATGCAAGCACGTTCCGGCCTTTTGGGATTTGGTAATTTGAGGATTGTGGAGGATTCGAGGATTCGGGAGACGGGGACTAGGCGCAATTACCCCCTAATTGGGCCTCCGGTAACCTCGCTCACACGACGAAATACAACGCAAGCGTTGTTTCACGTCAGTTTTCTGTGAGGCCGTGGTATCACTCCGGTCGTGCCGAAGCATGGCTCTCCCATCTCCCAGCATTTTGGGACATTATTAGTTCATTGTGACAAGGTAATTCATATCTACATTGATTATAGCGGTAGACAGCTATATGTTTCCTTAGTTAACATTAAGCAGGCCGGTGAACTTACCTTCCAGTGTGCAGCGTAGTCGTGCGTCAGCCCAAGTAGCTGGCACCACGAAATGTTTGAACCAACCCTTGGCTTTACTGCTGTACTTGTAGTCACAACGGAATGATGATGCCTCTATGGTCAAAGTCAAATAATTATTTCTGCAACTTCATATAAATGGTAAAATATTTGGGCGATTGGGAAGGGGGGACTATTTGGGCCTCCGGTCACTCGCACGGCGAACGAAACACGTTACAAGTATTTTATTTTATTTTATTTTATTTTATTGACACTTCTGTATAATAACATACGATGGCGGACTTAATGCCGGTATTGTAGTAGTAGTAGTAGTGTAAGTATTGTTCCACTTCGGTTTCTTGTGAGGCCGGAGTATCTACTTCTTCTTATTCCCACAGTTAAAAATACAAACATATACTTGATATAACCCATTATTTGACATTTTATAATAAAACACATTTACTTTTTTAATTACGCAAACATTAGTACATGAGTGGCCTTAATACATTAGCATTTTCTACCAGTCTGACCCTTGGGTGCAAAAATCATGCAATGAATTCTATTATTTTAAAGAGAATAATTCGGGACGTGCATGTGTGGAAGATATATACGAATATACCTACAATATAGTATAAATAAATACAAATTAAAGAACATAATATAAATATATGATAATACACATTTATATAATACATTAGGTAGTCGTTTTCATATAATTTTACAAAATTATAGTTTTCTTATAAATATCCGCTGTTACTAGAACCAGCTCTTTCTCTCTTTAACCTATGTATTAAAAAAATAAACTGAATTGCAACAGTGCATGAATACATGAAAATGTTACCTGTATAACAAAACAGAGTAAATAACCAAATAACAGAACATGTTACACCAGTCTTCATGTTGTTAGTTAACACACGTCTATATTTAATTCAAACTCGATGGTGTTATGAAACTAGTGCTTACAATAATCAGGCTTTTATAGCTAAATATCAGTTAGGCATTGGTGCTCAAAGTTTTTTATGCACAATGTCATTATTGTTACCTCAGATTTGATTTAACTTTTGCCCATGTAAATTTATCTTCTCTTTATACATCGCTCATGAGTCGCCTGCGTGGAAGTCGACACAGTATCCTTATTGCTATAGTCGATAGACATGATTGTCCATTGATGTGAAAATAAGTGCAGCGGACTAAGTCCCTGAGACTATTAATATTGTATCTATAGTTATATATGATTGTGTTCTTTCTTACATTTATTTTGATGGATCTAAGTTATCTAAATAAAGAAACTTTATTATAATTATTATTATTAGCACCGCACCAACCGTCCAGTCAATTAACATTTAACAATCAGAATATAACGTTTGATTAGATAGATATTAGTTTAAACATCGTGAACTGTTTACTGTTTGAATCATTATTCACTAAAATATTGTGATTCAGGTAATTCAATACTTGACCTGTAAATTATAAACAAGTGCTCGTTGGAGTGTAAATACAGGTGCACAGTTTGTATACGACATACGTCAACTCGTAATCGAGAACAACGTTGCCACAATACCCGCATCACTAAAGGAGTTACAAGTGCGTTGCCGGCTTTCTTAAAGTTAGGGATTTAAGGTTGGGGATTGGGAATAGGAGGAGTATTGGGCCTCCGATAATCGCACTGATACTGCAAAATATAACGCAAGTGTTATTTCACGTCGGTTTTCTGTAAGGCCGTGGGATCCAATCGAGCCGACCCATTCGTACCGAAGCATAAAATCAAAATCAAATCAAGCAGGCTGGATATGATGAAGAGCAACATTGTTCTTAGATAGTAATTGCTATAACAAAGAATCAGGCATGACTTAATTTTCTTCAACCATTTTATTTCAAAGACGTAAAATAGAGTTTAACAAATAATGGTTCAATTATACTTCATATTCTTGGGGATGTTATAACATACTTTTCATCACGCTACAATCAATAGGAGCAGAGCAGTGAAGGGAATATGTGAGTTTGTGTATATGTTTGTTACTCAGTCATATTAAAACGACTGAAGCGACCGGAATGAAATTCGGAACAGAGGTAGATTATGGTGTGAAGTAATACATTTACACCTGGGATCGCGGGCGAAGCCGGTGGCAGAAGCTAGTTATTAAAAAAGCGACATTAATAGACAATTAAAAAAAGCACGACACAGAGTTTTAATAAACGTGATTTGTTTTTTACATTCATCAATTAAGCTACATTTACAAATTTGCAGTACATAGGAAATTAAAAAATACAAGAAGTCATCATGATTACTCTAAACTTTCTTAGGTGTTACAAACTGGTGGATAATTGGATCGTTTTTCACAGATAAATGGTGCTGGATCCTCACACCAACAGTCGTTGAGCGTGCCTGCCCGAAGTATGGAACCACAGAATTGTAGCCCTGTGTAATTGTTTGGATCTTCAGAAGAGAATTTGCTGTACCCTGCCTCGTCTAGCGTTTGACCTAAAAATAACGATTATTTGATCAAGAGGTCGCATTGCTTGACCTTCAAGCTGACCAAAGATTTTAGAAATATTGTTCTGAGAGTCAAAAGCATGCAGTGCCGCTCGCAAATGAATGCGCACACAACAGGGACGTAATCAGAAACATTCATATAGGACACACAACTCCAGAGTCTTGAGAATGATCTATGGAGGAACGAAACACGTGTCGATTATGGTTTGTGTGTGTATTTTTCGTCTAGTATTTCAGTTTTTTTATTGGGACAAGCCCGCCACAACCTCCCAAACTGCTGCAACCTCTATAAGCCAGGATCTACAGTAGATAAAACCATTAAAACACCGGAACACTGAAGTCCGGCGCGTCCCAGGGACATCAATAACTGTCTTGGTTCCCGCAACGAAGTGAATCAGAAGATATTATAACAGATTTTTGTTTTTTATTTGGGCAGCACTGTGATCCGCCTCCAACCATGTCCTCTCCAGCCGTTCATGCACGGATGAGAAGAACTGATAAAGGTGGTGGCCCTTCATAGAAGATTCCCATCTACACTGCAATTCAGTTATAAGTTTAGTTAATGGCTTAAACAATCTAGACATTTTATTTCGATCACGTTATGCTAGAAAGCTTGCAAACAAAGTAGGTCTCACATTGTAGTACATAGCACGTCGTTGCACCTGATGATCGACCAGAAGTACGCCCGCGAGCACAGGTAGGGCCTCAGTGCTAACCGTCCTATAAGCCTTACACAAGAAAATCAAGGCTAGACGCTGGCCTTGGAGATTTTTTTGCATTATTTCGCACTTTAGGTTACTACGTGTCGAGATACGCCGCCGATATAAAAAAAAATCAATACTTTTACCGTGAATGGTCCTCCAGTCACCACGTTCGCCCCAGTCAAAGAAACCAATCAAAGCAGCGTATTTCCTGAAATTTCCTATCATTTTTTCATCTGGATATTTTGCGTATAGATCTTTTAGTACTGTAGCTTCTACTGCACTGTTAATTATGGCAAGGTGACCACCTTCAGCAGAACACGCGAAGTGCGCACGACTGAACTTGCGAGGTACTGTGTGGAACTTATAGCAAAAATTCGTTCTCGAATCCAATTTGTATTCTAAAATGAAGACAGAAATTTATTTTTCGAATTATCGTAACGGTAGAAATAGCAAGCACCGATCACCCATTCACTCTTTGGCGAAAATGTCAGTGTGGCAATAATATTGTAGAGGTATATTTCATTAGCCTTTCATCAACAAAATAGATTACAACACATTTATCATCACTCACTTTATTAACTCCTCAAGAAATTGCATCTTTTAAACAACAATCGACAACCCTCGAACTAATTGCGGAGAATAGCACAAACCTTTTTATTTTAATGAGACGTATAGTTCAGCAGTGCACTGTAACGGGCTGGTGTGGAGTGACAGATACATACCAGGATCTATAGTTCCACATTCATTGGCCTCAGTCTTAAGATTGGCTGAACGGAAGCAGATGTAAGGTCGAGTCTCATGACAGGACCTGTCAGCCGCTTCGCCATTCCCGTTGAACGTGACACAATGTTCTTCATTCCCTGCATTATTTGGCTCTTCTTCAGCCCAAACTAATGACACTTCACTTAGAGGTACACCTGGAATTTCATTAGCTATTATTATTTTTGTGGGATATGTCCTTTGGCCAGTATCTATAACACGTGCGTTACGTTGAGTTTGCCACCGTCCATGATCTCACTCACACGGAGAAATACAAACAAAGCTAACGCAGCCGTATTTCACACCGATTTTATATGAGACCAGTCCCTCCAGTTGTGCCTTGTGTGTAGGATACAGAATTGATTCTTTTTAGTACTACTATTTTTTTATCATTTTTATTTATATCGAAGTAATGTATGTTTATGTTGTAATAAGGTAAATATTATAATCTTAAGTTAAATAATATAAGTAGCGCCATCTAGTGTTAAGTTGGCAAGTTTCTCATAGACGTCGATATATTATCTGTGTTCTTCTTTTTTGTCGTCTGCATGGCGCCCATCATGTGCTTTCTGTGAGATTTTTAATAAAACTACGAAATATAACAAGCTATTATCTATTATTCAACCACATCCACCACTTCAACATGGTAGCAGAGCGTGGTTAAGTGGTTTCACGAAAAAGTCAATAAATATGAAGTGCAATTATGAAATCAAATTACGATTGAGGTTATCCGGTCACAACGGAAAAGTTAGTTTTGAAAACGTCTGAATCTACAAGAATATACGTAAATATGGCACAACAAGCTAAAATAGAAGACATCATGATACCTATTTTTGATGGGGCAAACTATTCGAGTTGGAAATTAAGGTTGGTTACTTTGTTGGAATACAAAGAATGCAACGAGGCCGCCATAGGCATAATGCCGGTGAAATATAAAAATACAGAAGCGGAATGGAAGAAGATGGATTTAAAGGCAAGGACTATTATTATGAGTACTATTTCGGACAAACAATTAGAATATATCACTGAGTGCAAGACAGCTTTTGACATGTTACAAAAGTTCGACAAAATGTATCTTACTCAATCAACATCTCTTCAAATTATATGTCGAGGAAAAGTGGAAGCGATCAAATTAAATAATTACGACACAGTAGAGGATTTCTTCGTTGATTTTGAAAAATCCATAAACGAATTCAAAACAGCCGGAGGTAAAATTGATGAACCTGAAAAGTTAAGATACCTGCTCAGAGCCCTACCACCAAGTTATAGTTATATAGGAGATTTTCTGGACGTGATTCCTGAAGAACAAAGGACTGTGGACTATGTACATTCAAAAATAAAGGAGAAAAATATGACTATGTGCGATGACAAGAAAAATAATGTGAGTACATATACAACCAGCACCACAAGAGCTCAATGTTTTGTCTGTGGTAAGACTGGTCATCTCAAGAAGGATTGTTGGCACGCTCAGAGAAATAATCAAGGACAAAAAAGTTCTCAAGGAAGTTTCCAGTCGTCTAGTCGGGGTCAGCGAGGACATCAGAGAGGATCCTACAGAGGTCGCAGCCTAGGCAGAGGTCAAGGCCACTCATCTAGCAATCATCCTAAAGGTGAATCTTCGAGCAACGGTCCCTCCCAGTCATGGACAGCTGAAGTATGTAAACCAGAAGTAAACCAGGTATCCGGATGTAATGAAAAGGTAACATTTAATAATAATAGTAATGTAGTTAATTGGCTTTTAGATAGTGGGTGCACTGACCATCTTATAAATGATTATTCATATTTTTATGACAGTGTAGATTTGAAAGATTTTGTTGATGTAAAATTACCAGATGGAAAAACCTTGAAAGCAACCAAAGTAGGTACTGTAAAAATGTATTTCAAAAACTATTATATTGTGAAGTATGTAGATTTAGAAAATGTCTATTATGTCGAAGGAATAAAACAAAATTTATTAAGTTTTTCAAAGGTAACTAATAGTTGTACAATAGTAGCTAAAAATGAAAGTGCTAAAATATATAATGAGTCTAGAGAGTTGATAGTTGTTGCTGATAAAATTAATAATTTGTATTGCTTAAAAGGTTATGTCTTAAAAAATGAAGTTTGCACAAATTCTGTAAAGTTAACGCAGAAAGAAAAATGGCATAGGGCACTTGGTCATGTGAATTTTCAATACTTAAATAAGATAATAAATAATAAATTAGTTGATGGTTTGCCAGATAAAATTGAAAGCACAGAAATGAAATGTTCAAATTGTATTCAGAGTAAAATGACTAATGTACCTTTTGAAAATAATAGAACAAAAACTACTGAGATTTTAGAACTTATTCATACTGATTTGAATGGGCCACATAACACAACTGGTTATGGTGGAGAAAAATATTTTTTAACCTTTATTGATGATTATAGTAAGTGTACCAGGATATTTTGTATTAAAAGTAAAGCTGAAACTGCAAAGTGTTTTATAGAGTTTATAAATTTAGTAGAAAATAAATTTAATAAAAGAGTCAAGAAGATTCAGTGTGACAATGGTAGAGAGTATTTAAATAAGGATATTTATAATTTTATAAGGTATAAGGGCATAGAGTTGTTACCATGTCCACCTTATGTTCATGAGTTAAACGGAGTAGCGGAGAGGTATAATAGGTCTGCTATGGATATAGGTAGATGTTTAATGAGAGAAGCTAAAATACATAGGAGGTACTGGCCTGAAGTAATAAAAACAGCAGCTTATTTAAAGAATCGTACTATTGCAAATACAGTTGAAAATAAAACTCCTTATGAGATATTTTTTGGGGTCAAACCAAATGTAGAGCATTTAAAAATTTATGGAAGTAGAGTCTATGTTAGAGTTCCTGAAGTGTTAAGAAAAAGTAAATGGGATGATAAAGCTCAACTAGGAATTTTAGTGGGTTATAATGAAAATAGTTACAGAGTTTTGTTAAATAACAGAATAATTAATGCAAGGCATGTACAGGTAATTGAAGAAAATACTCAGTTAATTTGTTTGGAAAAAGTAGACAATCAAAATAATAAAGATTTGGAAAGTGATAATACTTTAGATGTTTCAAATGAAGAGGTTAAAGATGAATATGAAACCGATGAAAACTTTGTAGATGCAGATGAGACTTATTCTAGTAGTAACGTAAATAATAATAGAGAAAATGACGTTTTAGTAGAATCACAGAAAAGAAAGAGAATCCCAGTTTCTAGATATGGTAATCCAGTTACACACTTTATTTATGTTAACCATATTGATGCAAATGTACCAAATTCATTCGAGGAGGCGATGAACTCCAATGATAGTAAGCAATGGCAAATAGCCATGGATTCTGAAATAAATAGTTTAAATAAAAATAATACTTGGCAAATTGTAGAAAAACCAAAAGATAAAAAGGTAATTGATGTTAAATGGGTTTTTAAAAAGAAAAGTAATAATGAATATAAAGCTAGATTGGTTGTGAGAGGGTTTCAGCAAAAAGATTTTAATGAAAATGCTTACTCACCTGTTGGAAAAATGCAAACTTTGAAAATTTTATTGTCATACAGTTGTAAAAATAAATTATTTGTAGAGCAAATGGATGTTGAAACAGCCTTTTTAAATGGTTATGTAAAGTCAGAAGTTTATGTAAATCAACCAGAAGGTTATAAAACAGGAGATAATAAAGTTTACAAATTGCAAAAAGCTCTCTATGGTCTCAAAGAAAGTCCTAGAGTGTGGTATGATTGTTTTGATATATTTATAAAAACTTTGAATTTTGTTAGAAGTAGTTATGATTACTGTTTGTATGTTAAAAAAGCAAGCAAAGATCCAATATACATATTAATATTTGTTGATGATCTTTTAATATGTTGTAAAGATAAAAATAAAATAAAAGAGGTGAAAACAAGTTTAATGAAACGATTTGCAATGAAAGACTTGGGGAAAATTAAAAGCTATATTGGCATAGATATTGAGTATAATGATGATAAAAATGTGATGACATTAAGTCAAACAAAGTATATTGAATCTTTGGCTGCAAAGTATAATTTGGTAAATACTAAGTTATATGATACTCCTATGGAAACAAATTTAAAATTAGAGCAAGCTAGTGAGGTCGATGAAAGTATTAAGTACAGAAATATAATAGGTGAATTATTGTATATTAGTACAGGCACAAGACCAGATGTAGCGTACAGCGTTAATTATTTGAGTAGATATCAAAGTTGTTATAACCGAACACATTACAAATATGCAATGAGGGTGTTAAAATATTTGTATAAAACTAAGAATCTAAAGTTAACATATTATGATAATGCAGATGCTGATATTTTAGACTGTATGGTTGATTCAGACTATGCAGGGGATAATGTGGATAGGAAGTCTACAACAGGTTTTATTATAAGATTTTTTGGAAATTTAATATTTTGGAAAACACGTAAACAAAATACAGTAACTAAATGTTCAACTTTTGCAGAGTATATTGCATTGTCAGAGGCAGTAACTGAAGTACTTTTTATAAGAAATTTGTTAAGTGAGTCATTTGATATAAACTTTTGTTATCCAATAAAATTGTATGAAGATAACTCAGGTGCAATTGCAATAGCTAAGTATGGTAACTTTACTAAAAATTCAAAGCACATTGAAGTGCAATATCATTATATAAACGAGAATTATGAAAACAAACTTATTGATATAATTAAAATTGATACAAAATGTAACTTAGCAGATATGTTGACTAAGAGTCTAGATAAATCAAAATTTTTGAAAAACAGGTTTGAATTAAGATTAATTTAGTTAAGAGTTCAGATTATTACTTTAAAGTACTGTTTAAGTAAAATATTAAAACTGTAATAACTTTAAAATACTGTTCATGTAAGATAAAATGTTAAGATTATAAATTTAAGGAGGTGTGTTGTAATAAGGTAAATATTATAATCTTAAGTTAAATAATATAAGTAGCGCCATCTAGTGTTAAGTTGGCAAGTTTCTCATAGACGTCGATATATTATCTGTATTCTTCCCTTTTGTCGTCTGCATGGCGCCCATCATGTGCTTTCTGTGAGATTTTTAATAAAACTACGAAATATAACAAGCTATTATCTATTATTCAACCACATCCACCACTTCAACAGTTTAAATATTATAAGTTTCGTGAGAGTTTCAAGCTATGCTCGAGGCTCATGTTCATGTGCAGCATTCCACGGCATATGACGCGGAGACTCTTGCGTTGCTACTCGCAGCAATACGAGTCGTTTTCTTTGTCAAACAGTTAAGTGAATAATCCGACGACATAATAATGAATAAAGTTAAGTAAATAAAAATGTGCTGTAAATAGAAATACCTTCAACAGTATAGAAGTCGCCTGTCAAAGTCGCGTGAAGTCCTGTAAAGATTTCTGATTCCGACGTGAAAAATGTGTCCATGATTTTATTAATCTCAGCTTCGATATTTGCGTTAAGTGGAGAAGCCAGTATTGCACCTGTTTGGACAAATATAAGACATATATTAAGAGAGGCGTCAAAGTATTTATGCATAAAAGTATTAGCAAACAAAGGCAATGTGCATGAAGGTTTACCCACGCAAGTATGGCGCACGCGCGCTCATGAGATAAAACCTCAGAACAATAACTGATAAAACATTTGTACTGAATGACTGACTGACAGATACAACGTACATACAACCGATACTATTGGACCTAAGAAGTTTAAACGTAACATGTATGTTCTTTGGGGCTATTCGGCCATGGGTTTGCAGACGGCGAGCGCGGGTAGCCAGCCACAAGCGCGCGGTGCGTCGCGTTCCGGGTACGTCTCAAAGAGCCATCAGATCATCTAAAATGGGGCTCAATAGGGTTAATGCAGTTACAGAGCCGCAGAGGATTTAACGGGTTGCCGCGGCTACGGTTCGAAGGGCAGGAATAGGAACGGGGAACACCAAAACGGGAAAAGTCAAAGGATGAATATCTCCCCTTAAAAAATGTTCTTTGAGGAGTGCAGGGAATCACTAAAAGAGGATGTCCCAAAATTCCCACCAGAACGGAAAAACGGGAAACATCAGAGCGAATCGAGAGGAACCCCTGCTAACATAGCAGAGTAATATCGTACTTATTTACTTTTTCATTTTGATAACAGCCTTTTCAACCTCAGGTCGGAGGAGATGAACACATGTAATGTACCATTTACTTTTCAAGTTTTGTTATGATTCACAGTAATTCTTATTGGGACATAATTCGATTGTATTATTATCACTTTGGTTATATGTACAGGGTGAAAACTGATCGTTCCTAAAAACGCCGACAGGTGATGGTTAAAAGCTAGTTTTATTTTCATAAAAGTTAGAAATTAAATGTTTCTTTTATGTAATAGATGTAACCAATCGCTTCTCGTTGCTGCTCTTCTTTCGGGAGCGTTGCGTTTACACCTTGTACTGTGATTTTGGGACATTATTAGTTCATTGTGACAAGGTAATTCCTATCATGAACTGGTCCCATTTCACCGAAGACTATGGACATTAGTAGATAGAGTAGATAAACGTATGGGTCACCTGCTTTGCGTGTGAAATAAAGTTTTTTCTTTCTTTTTTTATATTTACATAAATTAAAGCGGTAATATATGGTTTCTTTGTTAACATTAAGTAGGCCGGTGAACTTACCTTCCAGTGTGCAGCGTAGTCGTGCGTCAGCCCAAGTAGCTGGTACCACGAAATGTTTGAACCAACCCTTGGCTTTACTGCTGTACTTGTAGTCACAACGGAATGATGATGCCTCTATGGTCAAAGTCAAATAATTATTTCTGCAACTTCATATAAATGGTAAAATATTTGGGCGATTGGGAAGGGGGACTATTTGGGCCTCCGGTCACTCGCACGGCGAACCACGACACACATACACGCGAAACGCGCAAGTGTTGTTTCACGTCGGTTTCCTGTCGTCGTGGTTGTGGTGGTGTCGTAGGTCGTGGTAAACTATTCGAGCCAAAGTATGGCTCAGCTAGCGACCACAGTCAAAGGTGCCTACCTATACTTGGTATAAAACATTATTTCGCTCATTCTAACATGGTTAACAAGACCCAACAGACTGTTATGTCTTAGAAATGATTTTTTAAGTTTTATCAGAATTTTGAAATTTATATCTATCCCTCGAGACTAGGCCGTTAGGACATCAGTAAACTTAATGCCATAAGCATTTTCTACCAGTGTGACCCTTGTATGCAAAGAGCATGCAATGAGTTTTACTATTTAAAAGAGAATAATGCGACACGTACGTGTTTCTAGAATATACACAAATTTACCTACACTATAATATAAATAAATACATATTGAAGACAATGTAAATACATAAATATACAATATATTATTTACAATTTAACCTGTTCCAAATATTTCAAAAATAAAATGACAAATTAAAAATATAATTGGTCCGTCAGTTAAGTAATGAAAAAATATTAGACGCGTATTGTTTATTTTGTCGTATAAGAACACAATACTTAGATAAAACTAATCAAAGTTTAGGAGTGGGAGGTAGCTACATCATTTTAGAGTATAAATATTATTTAAAAGTGGCGTCATGCGATATTTCAAATCAATATATCTTCGATATTATTCGTTTCCGTAAGGAAATAAAAATACGTGTCTAATGTTTCTAAATAGGTCATCTATCAGACGGAAATTAAAATAAAAACTAGTCATCTACCCTATTGCATCAGTGCATTAATTAATAAAAAAATACATCATAAAACTAAATGTTACCTGAATAACAAAACAGAGTAAATAACCAAATAACAGAACATGTTACACCAGTCTTCATGTTGTTAGTTAACACACGTCTGTATTTAATTCAAACTCGATGGTGTTATGAAATTAGTGCTTACAATAATCAGGCTTTTATAACTAAATATCAGTTGGGCATTGGTGCTCAAAGTTTTTAGGACAATATTTGTAATAATGTCATTTGACCTCACATTCCAATTATCCTCTGTGGAAGTGAATTTATCTATGCATTTATTTATTTAAGTATATCATATTAAAAGCTGTATAATATAATAAAGATTTATAAATATGCATGATTGTAACGAATTGGTTCAAACAGTAGCTAATGGTCGGATTTTAAAAGTTTCTTCATAATTTGAATGCTACATTATCGATGATTAATATTTTCTGAAGTGAAACAAGTGAATTTATTTCTGCAAATAGGCTACAAGGCAGCACTTTTACACGTCAATTCTATCAAGCGAACGATGAGACCGACATTTCCTAATTGACTACTCTGAGAAGAAATGCCGAAACAAACTCAGAGGTCCGTCTCTTTTAAAGTCCAGACAAATGTATATAAAAGATTATGTGCGAGAACCGTGCAAATTCTTTCTGTAGTGGCCTTTTGAGGAAAGAACCACAACAGTTTGAGCGGACCCGTTCTGAAGGCAGTAGGCATGTGTCAAGTGAAACAAGTGAAACAAGTGAAACAAGTGAAACAAGTGAATTTATTTCTGCAAATAGGCTACAAGGCAGCACTTTTACACGTCAATTTTATCAAGCGAACGATGAGGTCGACATTTCCTAACTGACTACTCTGAGAAGAAATGTCGAAACAAACTCAGAGGTCTGTCTCTTTTAAAGTCCAGACAGTATATATAATAGATTATGTGTGAGAACCGTGCAAGTTCTTTCTGTAGTGGCCTTTTGAGGAAAGAACCACAACAGTTTGAGCGGACCCGTTCTGAAGGCAGTACGCATGTGTCGGTTTACAATCAGCTCAATTAACAGACGGGGCTGACTGATTCGACGAACAATACCAACCTATAGAACATTTGCGTAGGTCGCACAAATACTTAAACTGTCAGAATATGGGTAGTTAGAAAAGAAATGGTGAGGCAAAGTCTCGCATGGTCCTTGCACTAAAAATTGTAAAAATAAAGGGTCAATGTCAAGGTAGAAGAACAAATAAAAATCTTGATAAACACTGTGAAACTGGAATAGGCGGTTAGCATTATATGTATAAATAAACAGGCCATACTTATACCCAGAACTACAATCTGTGTCACGCAAAGAATTTTTCTGTGTGGGAATCGAACCAGATACACGTTGTACAATACCTACATTGCCAGCCGCTGCGCCAACCGTGCAATCAATTAACATTTAACAATTGGAATATAACGTTTGGTTACCTTGATATTAGTTTAAACATCGTGAACTGTTATTAACTGTTTGATTTATTATTCACTAAAATATTGTGATTCAGGTAATTCAATAATTGACCTGTAAACTACAAACAAGTGCTCGTTGGAATGCAAATATAGCTGCACAGTTTGTTCCAGATCACGAATTTCGCTTGAAACTACCAGACGACATACGTAACTCAACTCGTAATCGAGAAGAACGTTGCCACAATACCCGCGACACCGGCTTTCTGAAGCTTAGGGATTTAAAGTTTGGGGGACCGGGAATAGGAAGTGAAGATTGGGCCTACGATAATCGCACTGCGGCCGTGTTATTCAATCGAGCTGACCCATTCGTACCGAAGCATGAAATCAAAATCAAATCAAGCAGGCTGGATATGATGAAGAGCAACATTGTTCTTAGATAGTAATTGCTATAACAAAGAATCAGGCGTGACTTAATTTTCTTCAACCATTTTATTTCAAAGACGTAAAATGGAGTTTAACGAATAATGGTTCCATTATTCTTCATACTCTTGGGGATGTTATAACATACTTCTCATCACGCTGCAATGAATAGGAGCATAGCAGTTACGGGAAATGTTGAGGGAACGGGAGAAGTTACTCCATTGTTTCAGCATTCGTCGCGTGTGCAGCCTTAATGGTTAAAGTGACATCAAAATCATGTATGACGGTAATTTTATACATAAAATTATCTAAAAATATCCTACAACAACATAATTATGTCTATCTTTTATGGTTGACTCACAATAACACATGTAATTCCCGATAGTCTAGCAGTTCGGAGATTTCTGCTTATATTTGTTTACTCTTGCGTTTATAACACCTCACTCATCCATAATTTAAAAAAATACACTATTTCATATTCAATAAATAAAGAAAAAACAACTAGATATTTATTACTCTCTAAATTATTTTTAGAAATAGTGTATTATTGATAAACCTGTTCTTGAATGTGTATTATTTACATCGGGACATGGTTTTGATTATTAAAAATGTATTTAGAGGCGAAATACAAGTGCCCATTCATTTAACAGCCCTGCGACAATTGGTAGCACAGGCCTAGGCTATTTTTTTTTAAAGGGGGGAATATCATCGAATGACTGCTCCTGCCTGGGTGAGGCGGAAGGGAGTGTCAGACTCTTACTGACTAAAAACAACCCCGTTCCTTCTCCTGCACGTCGAGGCGGAGCTCCGGTTACCCGTTAGGTTCTCCGCGACTCCGAATCGGCAACAGCTCTATTGGGCCCCATCTGTGGTGGTCTGATGGCTCTTTGAGGCGCGCGCGGAACGCGACGTGCCGTACGCTCGGGTCTGTTTCTGGTCGGACTGGGAGCCACCCATAATCGCCGTCCGCAGGCCCGCGCTTACGGTGGCCGGAGATCGTCCCGCAATCCCCGACGCCCGGTGTGTCCTTCGCGATGGCTGGGTTGCGAGGAGGCAGCGCTTCGCTGCCTCACGCATCCCGCCTCCAGATCCCACAGCGGTAATCCGGCAAGGAGGTTCGCCGACTCCCCAGAGATCGTGCGGTACACGCGGATCATTCGGATCGCCATGACCCTCTGTGCCATAAGCAGCGCCCGAGCGGGCCGCCGCAGCAGGTTCGGCGCCCAAACAGGGGCGCCGTAGAGGGCCATGGATCGCACGACCCCGGCGTATAACCAAGCCTAGGCTAGGGAGGCTTGGAAATTTTGGTCTCGGCAGCACAACTTCAATTCAAAGTACCACAACATACAAATACAAGCTGATTAACATTCTATGGACATGGGCGTGTCAATGTCATGTCATGCATGTGTCAAGCGGTCGATATTTTTATTTTATTTTATTTATTTACTTTTATATTTAATTAATCTGTTATTTGCCGCTATATTGTAATTAAGAATGCGTTTAATTCGGTCAATAGGGATACTTTGTTGACAGAAGTTAAAAAAGAAGTACCCCAAATTTTCAGTTTTCTCTGGCAATGTTATAGACATCCTACCAAATTATTATATAAGGATAACCTTTTGGAATCAGCCGTTGGCTGTCAACAAGGCGATCCCCTTGGACCAGTGATGTTTAGCCTGGTTATTCATCCTATTATTCGACAGCTAAATTTGACACCTCGATGACGGTACCCTGGGAGGCGATGCGGATACAGTATTAAATGAATTCATATTTTTAAAAAACGAACTTCATACTATTGGCCTTGACCTAAATTATTCCAAATGTGAGATATTTTTAGATGACTCTACCGACAGACAGATCATACCAAAATTTAATACTTTTGCGCCTAATATCTCGGTTGTTGATAAATGTTCACTTCGCCTCCTAGGTGCGCCCGTCTTCGAGGACTCTTTTCCAAGTTTTATTGAAGAAAAAATTCAAAAATTTTCTGTCGTTTCAGAAAAAACTATATCAAATTAGAATGCATTCGGCTTATACTATTATTCGATTTTGTTGCTTCGGTCCCAAATTTATGTACATACTATTTGCGCTCGACCCACGTCTGGTCTGCACCCCTTCTTTTGGAAAAAATTAACCAAATCATTAGGCGAACTTTGTCCTTAATTTTGAATGTGGCTCTTGATAACCGAGCTTGGACACAAGCTACTCTGCCTGTCCGCATGGGTGGGCTTGGCGTCTGTAAAATTTCCAGTGTAAGCCTACCGGCTTTCATATCTTCCGCCCATGGTACTGAAGAATTAACCACGAAAATTCTTTCTCAATCACTGGTTAATTTTGATGTACCTACCAAGTTGTGTCGAGCCGGTGCTGCCGCTGCTGCTGCCGAGAACCTCAAACGGCGAAAGTATAATAGCTTGATTGGCAATTATGCTTTCGAACCGTTTGGGGTTGAAACTTTAGGGGCGTGGGGCCCAAGTGCACATCTTCTTTACAAAGATATTGTAAGGAGGAAGGTTCACACTTCAAGTGATCGAAGGGCTAGCTACTACCTTGGGCAATGCTTAAAATACTGGCAGCGTTGCCAAATGCTGCCAGTCTTTTGGGCACCCTACCTCACGGTAACGATGAGGAAAATGTTTTCTTTGATGCCTTATGATATATTTTTATTTTATTTTATTTTTTAAGGTGTAAATATTTTAGTTTTAAATTATATTTTATATTTTAAGTTGTATATATTACTTATCTCATAATATCTATAAATAATAATATAAATAAAGAATTATAGAAATCGGTATAGAAACACCAAACTTATACATGAAACAAAATTTCATTTTATTTCATTTCGAATGTTAGGTTGCCCACAGTAGACTTTACACGCCTTACTTTTGCACGACCGAAATGTGGGCAGAATAAGAGGAACTTGTTCTTGTCCACCTTGTTCGGGCAGTAAATGATTTCGATTTTTTGATTTACGCTGTAACTGTAGGGCCGATGGTTAAAATGATGAGAATGATGATTAGCTTGAACCGATATTATAAGTGTGAAAATATGTGAGTTTATGAGTACGTTTGTTACTCAGTCGTATTAATGTTCGGAAATTCGGAACAGAGGTAGATTATGGTCTGAAGTAATACATAGGCATTTACACCTGGAATCGCGGGCGAAGCCGGTGGCAGAAGCTAGTTATTAAAAAAAGCGACATTAATAGACAAAAAAAAGCACGACACAGTTTTAATAAACATGATTTTATTTTTTACATACATCAATTAAGCAGCATTTACAAATTTGCAGTACATAGGAAATTAAGAAATACAAAAAGTCATCATGATTACTCTAAACTCTCTTAGGTGTTACAAACTTGTGGATAATTGGATCGTTTTTCACAGATAAATGGTGCTGGATTCTCACACCAACGGTCGTTGAGCAAACCGGACCGATATATGGAACCACAGAATTCTCCCTCTGTGTAATTGTTTGGTTCTCCAGGAGAGAATTTGCTGTACCCTGCCTCGTCTAGCGTTTGACCTAAAAATAACGATTATTTGATCAAGAGGTCGCATTGCTTGACCTTCAAGCTGACCAAAGATTTTAGAAATATTGTTCTGAGAGCCAAAAGCATGCAGTGCCGCTCGCAAATGAATGCGCACACAACAGGGACGTAATCAGAAACATTCATATAGGACACACAACTCCTGAGTCTTGAGAATGATCTATGGAGGAACGAAACACATGTCGATTATGGTTTGTGTGTGTATTTTTCGTCTAGTATTTCAGTTTTTTTATTGGGACAAGCCCGCCACAACCTCCCAAACTGCTGCAACCTCTATAAGCCAGGATCTACAGTAGATAAAACCATTAAAACACCGGAACACTGAAGTCCGGCGCGTCCCAGGGACATCAATAACTGTCTTGGTTCCCGCAACGAAGTGAATCAGAAGATATTATAACAGATTTTTGTTTTTTATTTGGGCAACACAGTGATCCGCCTCCAACCATGTCCTCTCCAGCCGTTCATGCACGGATGAGAAGAACTGATGAAGGTGGTGGCCCTTCATAGAAGATTCCCATCTACACTGCAATTTAGTTATAAGTTCACCCCAGACGTCCGTTAATGGCTAAAACAATCTAGACATTTTATTTCGATCACGTTATGCTAGAAAGCTTGCAAACAAAGTAGGTCTCACATTGTAGTACATAGCACGTCGTTGCACCTGATGATCGACCAGAAGTACGCCCGCGAGCACAGGTAGGGCCTCAGTGCTAACCGTCCTATAAGCCTTACACAAGAAAAACAAGGCTAGACGCTGGCCTTGGAGAATTTTTTGAATTAATTCGCACTTTGGGTTACTAATTGTCGAGATACGCCGCCGATATAAAAAAAATCAATACTTTTACCGTGAATGGTCCTCCAGTCACCACGTTCGCCCCAGTCAAAGAAACCAATCAAAGCAGAGTCTTTCTTGAAATTTCCTATCATTTTTCCATCTGGATATTTTGCGTATAGATCTTTTAGTACTGTAGCTTCTACTGCACTGTTAATTATGGCAAGGTGACCACCTTCAGCAGAACACGCGAAGTGCGCACGACTGAACTTGCGAGGTACTATGTGGAACTTATAGCAAAAATTCGTTCTCGAATCCAATTTGTATTCTAAAATGAAGACAGAAATTTATTTTTCGAATTATCGTAACGGTAGAAATAGTAAGCACCGATCACCTATTCACTGTTTGGCGAAAATGTCAGTGTGGCAATAATATTGTAGAGGTATATTTCATTAGCCTTTCATCAACAAAATAGATTACAACACATTTATCATCACTCACTTTATTAACTCCTCAAGAAATTGCATCTTTTAAACAACAATCGACAACCCTCGAACTAATTGCGGAGAATAGCACAAACCTTTTTATTTTAATGAGACGTATAGTTCAGCAGTGCACTGTAACGGGCTGGTGTGGAGTGACAGATACATACCAGGATCTATAGTTCCACATTCATTGGCCTCAGTCTTAAGATTGGCTGAACGGAAGCAGATGTAAGGTCGAGTCTCATGACAGGACCTGTCAGCCGCTTCGCCATTCCCGTTGAACGTGACACAATGTTCTTCATTCCCTGCATTATTTGGCTCTTTTTCTGCCCAAGCTAATGAAACTTCACTTAGAGGTACACCTGGAATTTCATTAGCTATTATTATTTTTGTGGGATATGTCCTTTGGCCAGTATCTATAACACGTGCGTTGCGTTGAGTTTGCCACCGTCCATGATCTCACTCACACGGAGAAATACAAACAAAGCTAACGCAGCCGTATTTCACACCGATTTTATATGAGACCAGTCCCTCCAGTTGTGCCTTGTGTGTAGGATACAGAATTGATTCTTTTTAGTACTACTATTTTTTCATCATTTTTATTTATATCGAAGTAATGTATGTTTAAATATTATAACTTTCGTGAGAGTTTCAAGCTATGCTCGAGGCTCATGTTCATGTGCAGCATTCCACGGCATATGACGCGGAGACTCTTGCGTTGCTACTCGCAGCAATACGAGTCGTTTTCTTTGTCAAACAGTTAAGTGAATAAGCCGACGACATAATAATGAATAAAGTTAAGTAAATAAAAATGTGCTGTAAATAGAAATACCTTCAACAGTATAGAAGTCGCCTGTCAAAGTCGCGTGAAGTCCTGTAAAGATTTCTGATTCCGACGTGAAAAATGTGTCCATGATTTTATTAATCTCAGCTTCGATATTTGCGTTAAGTGGAGAAGCCAGTATTGCACCTGTTTGGACAAATATAAGACATATATTAAGAGAGGCGTCAAAGTATTTATGCATATAAGTATTAGCAAACAAAGGCAATGTGCATGAAGGTTTACCCACGCAAGTATGGCGCACGCGCGCTCATGAGATAAAACCTCAGAACAATAACTGATAAAACATTTGTACTGAATGACTGACTGACAGATACAACGTACATACAACCGATACTATTGGACCTAAGAAGTTTAAACGTAACATGTATGTTCTTTGGGGCTATTCGGCCATGGGTTTGCAGACGGCGAGCGCGGGTAGCCAGCCACAAGCGCGCGGTGCGTCGCGTTCCGGGTACGTCTCAAAGAGCCATCAGATCATCTAAAATGGGGCTCAATAGGGTTAATGCAGTTACAGAGCCGCAGAGGATTTAACGGGTTGCCGCGGCTACGGTTCGAAGGGCAGGAATAGGAACGGGGAACACCAAAACGGGAAAAGTCAAAGGATGAATATCTCCCCTTAAAAAATGTTCTTTGAGGAGTGCAGGGAATCACTAAAAGAGGATGTCCCAAAATTCCCACCAGAACGGAAAAACGGGAAACATCAGAGCGAATCGAGAGGAACCCCTGCTAACATAGCAGAGTAATATCGTACTTATTTACTTTTTCATATTGATAACAGCCTTTTCAACCTCAGGTCGGAGGAGATGAACACATGTAATGTACCATTTACTTTTCAAGTTTTGTTATGAATCACAGTAATTCTTATTGGGACATAATTCGATTGTATTATTATCACTTTGGTTATATGTACAGGGTGAAACTGATCGTTCCTAAAAACGCCGACAGGTGATGGTTAAAAGCTAGTTTTATTTTCATAAAAGTTAGAAATTAAATGTTTCTTTTATGTAATAGATGTAATCAATCGCTTCTCGTTGCTGCTCTTCTTTCGGGAGCGTTGCGTTTACACCTTGTACTGTGATTTTGGGACATTATTAGTTCATTGTGACAAGGTAATTCCTATCATGAACTGGTCCCATTTCACCGAAGACTATGGACATTAGTAGACAGAGTAGATAAACGTATGGGTCACCTGCTTTGCGTGTGAAATAAAGTTTTTTCTTTCTTTTTTTATATTTACATAAATTAAAGCGGTAATATATGGTTTCTTTGTTAACATTAAGTAGGCCGGTGAACTTACCTTCCAGTGTGCAGCGTAGTCGTGCGTCAGCCCAAGTAGCTGGTACCACGAAATGTTTGAACCAACCCTTGGCTTTACTGCTGTACTTGTAGTCACAACGGAATGATGATGCCTCTATGGTCAAAGTCAAATAATTATTTCTGCAACTTCATATAAATGGTAAAATATTTGGGAGATTGGGAAGGGGGACAATTTGGGCCTCCGGTCACTCGCACGGCGAATCACGACACACATACACGCGAAACGCGCAAGTGTTGTTTCACGTCGGTTTCCTGTCGTCGTGGTTGTGGTGGTGTCGTAGGTCGTGGTAAACTATTCGAGCCAAAGTATGGCTCAGCTAGCGACCACAGTCAAAGGTGCCTATACTTGGTATAAAACATTATTTCGCTCATTCTAATAAAACACATTTATTTTTTAAATTATGCAGATGTGGTTAACAAAACCCAACAGACTGTTATGTCTTAGAAATGATTTTTTAAGTTTTATAAGAATTTTGACATTTATATCTATCCCTCGAGACTAGGCCGTTAGGACATCAGTAAACTTAATGCCATAAGCATTTTCTACCAGTGTGACCCTTGTATGCAAAGAGCATGCAATGAGTTCTACTATTTAAAAGAGATAATACATATTGAAGACAATGTAAATACATAAATATACAATATATAAATCGTTATTTACAATTTTACAAAATTATAGTTTTCTTATAAAAATGTAGGTACGCTGTTCCCTCGGCTGTTCCAAATATTTCAAAAATAAAATGAATAGGGATGATGACAGAAACTTTCAAAAAGACTCGAAAAAATTCTCCATTAAAAAATAAGTGTGTCTAATGTTTTTAAATAAGTAATCTACCAGGCACACTATAAAATAAAAACTAGTCATCTACCCTATTGTATCAGTACATTAATTAATAAAAAAATACATCATAAAACTAAATGTTACCTGAATGACAAAATAGAGCAAACAACCAAATAACAGAACATGTTACAGCAGTCTTCATGTTGTTAGTTAACACACGTCTATGTTTAATTCAAACTCGATGGTGTTATGAAACTAGTGCTTACAATAATCAGGCTTTTATAACTAAATATCAGTTGGGCATTGGTGCTCAAAGTTTTTAATTCACTTTGTCAATTGGGTAGTTTCCAGGGTATCAAAATTAAAAATCTAATTAGTCCGTCAGTTAGATAATGAAAAAAATATAAGACACGTATTTTTCTACTTTCTCGTATTAAGTTGCAATATTTAGATAAAATGGCGGTAAGTTTAGGAGTGATGTCGTTACGTCATAACGTGCTACAAAATGTGGCACGCTGTGACGTTTCACGATATTTTAAATTAGTATATCGTCGAAAGTATTTAATTTTGTAAGAAAAAAAATGTGTCTAATGTTTTAAAATAATGTACCAGACGGACATTTTTTTTATTTATTATTCTCATAAATATATACATTATTATTAAATATACAAAAATCGCCAAACTGATAAAATAAAATTTAAATAAAATATTAAATATTTAAATAAAATTTAGGAAACTACCCTATTGTAATAATGTTATAGTGACCTCAGATTCGATTTATCTTCGGTGTCAGTGAATTTATTTATGCATATATTTATCTATATCATATAAAGCTGTATAATATAATAAAGATTTATAAGTAAGCATGTTTGTAACGAATTAGTTCAAACAATACCTAAGGGTCGGATTTTCTAAAAAAATTCTTTCACCATTTGAATGCTACATTATCGATGATTAATATTTTTGTTAAACAGTGTGAAGCTGAAATGGGCGGTTAGCATTATATGTATAAATACACAGGCCATACACCCAGAACTACAATCTGTGTCACGCAAAGAATTTTTCTGTGTGGGAATCGAACCAGAGACACGTTGTACATCAGCTATATTGCCAGCCGCTGCGCCAACCGTGCAATCAATTAACATTTAACAATTAGAATAAAACGTTTGGTTACCTTGATATTAGTTTAAACATCGTGAACTGTTATTAACTGTTTGATTTATTATTCACTAAAATATTGTGATTCAGGTAATTCAATAATTGACCTGTAAATTATAAACAAGTGGTCGTTGGAATGCAAATACAGCTGCACAGTTTGCTCTAGATCACGAACTTCGCTTGAAACTACCAGACGACATACGTCAACTCGTAATCGAGAAGAACGTAGCCACAATACCCGCGACACCAAATGAGTTGTGAAGTCGGTAAAAAGTACGTTGCCGGCTTTCTGAAGGTTAGGTATTTAAAGTTTGGGGGATCGGGAATAGGAGGGAAGGGCTCGGTTTTCTGTGAGACCGTGATATTACTTCGGTTAAGTAAACCCATTCGTACCGAAGCATGAAATCAAAATCAAATCAAGCAGGCTGGATATGATGAAGAGCAACATTGTTCTTAGATAGTAATTGCTATAACAAAGAATCAGGCGTGACTTAATTTATAACAACCATTTTATTTAAAAGGTGTAGAATTTTATATAAATATCAAAACCATAAAGCCGTTTCTTCAACAATTTTATTACGACCTTTGTATAAAAAGGCTCCAAAACATAAAATTTCAGTTTCCTCAAAGCACAATCACGTCTTAGATCGTATAAAAGTCAGGGGTCGCTTGAGTAAAAGTCATAAAGTAACAAAAATACTGTTAGTGATGTCCATGCAGTTCTCTTTTCAGTCCCGACTTTTTCTCAACTCCGGGAATTTGATATCTTACTTATACTGACATTTTAACCTTTTGAGTAGGTACCGTCATTATAGACACACACAACACACACAATTAAATAGCAATAGGTGTGCAGACACCGGTGTCTTCGCGGTGTTTGACAGTTTAATTGGTAAAAGTTACATCTGTTTATCTATTTAACTAAAAAAGCAACGGTACGACAAGCTTGGAGGAAATCTTTATTACGTATATAATTGTGTCTAAAACCCACCGCATCATTTGAATTTGTAACATTCAAAATGTTTGGAGCACATTTTGGTAATATCCTGATTTCATATTCACTAAGTGAGGAACTTTAATTAAGTACAGTGCGGGACAAAAGTAGACGCATATTATTTGAATATCGATGGAATAAATAATAGAAAACTGTGTTGTAAATGTAATGTTGGAAAAACCTTTACCCCACTACGGCAAAAGTTACTAAGAATGCCTAAATTATATCTTTTTTTGAAAGAGCAATAGCCGCCCAGTCTTTTTTTTTTTTTTTTTTTTTTTTTTTTTTTTTTTTTTTTTTAAGGGGGGAAAATCATCAAATGACTGCTCCCGCCTGGGTGAGGCGGAAGGGAGTGTCAGACTCTTACTGACTAAAAACCACCCCGTTCCTTCTCCTGCACGTCGAGCCGGAGCCCCGGTTACCCGTTAGGTTCTCCGCGACTCCGAATCGGCATCGGCCCTATTGGGCCCCATCTGTGGTGGTCTGATGGCTCTTTGAGGCGCGCGCGGAACGCGACGCGCCGTACGCTCGGGTCTGTTTCTGGTCGGACGGGGAGCCACCCATGCTCGCCGTCCGCAGGCCCGCGCTTACGGTGGCCGGAGATCGTCCCGCGATCCCCGACGCCCGGTGTGTCCTTCGCGATGGCTGGGTCGCGAGGAGGCAGCGCTTCGCTGCCTCACGCGTCCCGCCTCCTCCTTAGCTAGCATGACTGCTTCGCAAAAGGAGGAGACGGCATCCCAGTCCCCCTCGCTCCGCATCATGGCCTGCACTAGGCCCGGACGCGAGAGGTCGCCATCGCCGATCACTTCCCTGAGGGCACGGCGGTGCTCAGCCCACGCAGGGCATTCCGCTACGGTGTGTTCCACCGTGTAGCCGCCCAGTCTTAGAGATTATCGTCGTATTATAATCAAGTAATTTAGTCTTAATCGTAGGTACTAACCACTTTAATATAACATGGATATTCCCAAAAACCTCTAGATAGTAGATTTAACTTTCCTAATGACTGTACCTCGCTTGCTGGTTAAGTGACCGTAAAATTGGACTCACCCATAATAATTACAATTATGAACGTTTTATACAGTAGGTATGCAGCTTGAAAACCTTTCATCGTGTTATAACCTACATTTTAAATGATTTTTAACAAAATCTTGCAGTTTCTTGGAAACATTAATATCTTTTAGCCAACAATTTACTAGATGACATCTTCAGTATTCATAATACCGACGCTTTGACACTGAGTAATGGATCCCGCGTTCACAGAAATCCAGGGACCCCGGAACTATTGGCACATCACTATGAACCCGAGTGGTCACTTGAGACACATTTTAACATTCTTATGGAGTAATAAACATCACTATATTTTATTATCTAAACTTTATTTTCTTTATAGCTTTAAAAGTTGCGGTTTCATGGGAAATGTGTTGGTTGCTATAAACTTAATATATTATTTACTTTTTGTGAGACAAAAGTGCACTTGTTTCGAGTTAGATGTGTCTGCTGCATTTCAAGACACTGTTGAATGATGGAGTAAAAAGAGTCTTGAACGACAACCTCTTTTGAAAAAATGGAATGCAAAGAGAAAAAAAATAAGTCAAAGCACGAGTCAAAGCATTTATTCCAATTAATCCTTTGATAGGCACTTTTGAATCGTCAAAAATTGAATTGTTCATCCGTCTGTCTGTCAGTGAAGTAATGCGCTCGTTCCAAAGTGTATTTTCGAATGATAAGAACGAGTATGAAATTTCATAGTGACTCTTTTAAGATTTTTTTTTTTGTAAATGTGTTCAATTATCTAATTAAATTATTAAAAATAGTTTCGTAAGTCAAATTGTGAATCTACTGGTATTTTTTTTTAAGGGGGGAAAATCATCAAATGACTGCTCCCGCCTGGGTGAGGCGGAATAGTGCCAGACTCTTACTGACTAAACACCACGCCGTTCCTTCTCCTGCACGTCGAGCCGGAGCCCCGGTTACCCGTTAAGTTATCCGCGACGAATCTACTGGTATAGATGCTAAATAAATATAACTTGTTCTACTAATATTATAAATGTGAAAGTTTTTCGAGGATGTCGTGTCGTGTGGATGAGGACGTCAACATGACTGACGGGATCGAGACGATATTTAGAACATGGGTAGATTATGACCTGGAATAACACACTTTTATGGTATGGAAACGCGCGCGAAGCCGCTGGCAGAAACTAGTATTTCTTAATATCTAAATACAAAAAAAAGAATAATTTCCCAATGACCAATTTTTATCAACACATCCCTTTGAATTTTTCTTCAATACGTACCTATTTAATAACTAGTAGTGACGTGACAGCCGAAGGGAATGAAAAGTTCCAGGGAAATTAATTTAGCTTTTATGTGATTTTTGTTGCTTCAGTTAAAATGAAATTCGAGTTGTGTGTTGTAATAAAATTGAAATAATATTGCCTTTTCTTTTGATTTAATTGTGGTCAAACGTCAAAATTATTTTAGTAAAATAAGCTATGGAATAGTTATTCTTTAAACTAAGTGGGAAGGAAAATGGGAGGCTTTTGTTCAGCTGATGATGATTCTTCTCTTTCATATTACATTTTTACCTCTGTATGAACAATAACAAGATTAGCAGAAATAAGTGGTACGTTGTTTAGATCAGCTTATGTTTTCATCATATAAAAGTACAAATATATTAGGCTATGATAAACACAAAGTGACGAATTCAGTTAAACAAGCCTTCAAAGATTGCTGCCTCCTCACAACCCAGCCATCGCAAAGGACACCCCGGGCGTCGGGGATCGCGGGACGATCTCTGGCAACCTTAAGCGCGGGCCTGCGGATGGCGAGCATGGGTGGCTCGCCGCCCGACCAGAACCAAACCAGTTCCGCGCGTGCCTCAAAGAGGCATCAGACCACCACGGATGGGCGCCCAATAGGGCTGATGCCGATTCGCAGCCGCGGAGAACCTAACGGGTTACCGGGGCTCCGGCTCGAAGTGCAGGAGTAGGAACGGGGTGGTTTTTAGTCAGTAAGAGTCTGACACTCCCTCCCGCCTCACCGAGGCGTAGTCATTGGATAATTTCCCCAAAAAAAAAGCCTTCTAAGATTAGAAACCAAACTAGATTCTTGTAAAGAGAAAAACTAAAATATCTTTCAGAAAATATCAAAACTAAACGAAGTTTCTTAAGTGAATATCAGTAACATAATAAAGAGCGTAATAAGATCTAGGACTCTCAAGAAAATGCTAAGCGTAAGTGCTTACAAAATAAAATACATTAAAGAACATAAGTAAAAGATACCAGGTGTTCATAAAGTTGAAGTGGTACTCAAATTATACTTCATTTTATTTATAGGTAGTCAATAAAAGGTTGGGAATGTGCAGTAAATGTTTATGGCGTGGAACTGGAGCCACGATGTATGCACCCAGTTTATGTTATCCTGGTACCAATGTGTTAAGTTATTGGAGTTAAAAGCATCGTGATGAAGTGAGCGATGGATTTTATAGTCGTTTTGTGGTGTGGGGAAGTAAAACAAATAATGTTTATTGTGATGTTGCCACTAGGAAAAATTTGTTTGAAAAATCTGTGGTTCTGGTGACATCTTGCTGGTGTCTTGCTCCTGGTTTTGTACCCTTCACCGGCCGAGTCACATAACATTTACCATTATAACAAAGAAATCGCAGTAAAGAACCTCAGATTTGGCACGACTTTGTTACATTTCATTAGTTTTTAGAGATAAAGGAATAATAGTCAAGTTTACTGCCCGTTGACCGGATGGTCGCAAGTGCGACTGCCGGGCAAGGGGTCTCGGATTCGATTCCCGGGTCGGGCAAAGTATTAATGGGTTTTTATAAATCTCAGTAGTAGCACGGAGTTTCGAAATATGCCCGGTATGTGGCAATAGACTCACCCCCTATTACATGGGACTCATAACATAAATAGTGAAAAGTGCGTGTTACATTGTATAATGGCATTAAGTGCCGTAATGTGCACCTCTGCCAACCCCTTCGGGAATAAAAGGCGTGATGTTATGTTATGTTATGTCAAGTTTTTGACAATAAATCGATTCCATTATATCTTATTTTATTTTATTTATTTATGATTTACCAACATTTGTTTACACCAATACAATTGTCGAGATACAAATGTGAGTTCTTTACAGTAAGTGTAACAAATACTTATAGGTAAATACAGCATTTACAAAATTATTATCTTACATCTAAAACAAACTTGATATTAATTTTTAACAGGAAAAAAAATATTCGGTGCTACTGTGTACCAACTAAAGCAAAACACAAGTGTACCACACAAAACACCTGTATAGGTATATAAAAAACTAAGTATATAAAAACTAATTTTAAACACAAAAACAAGTAATAAAAGGAACAATATAAAAAAAAAACAAAAAACAGTAAATTTTTCTCATGCGTGTGGTAACGACTTTTATACACTCGTAGATTTAGACACCATCAGTCAACTCTTTGTTGATAAGTGCTTCAACAGCGCAGACCGGAACCCAACCAACGATGACGTGTGAATATCTACTAAGTCACTGCAGTCGTTCAGCAATCTACTCAGCCTTGGTAATGGAGAATTAGCGCCCAAGACCGTCCTGCGACGAGGTGGATACAGAAGCGCGATACGGTTACGCGGGTATTTGGCAAGCACTCGGTATTTGACTTTTTTCAGAAGGGTTGGGCAATCTATTATGTTATTTATTAATTTATACATGAATAAGCAGTCAGTGATTTCCCTACGACTGCTTAGTGATATCATTCGATGTAATTTTAATTTACTTTTGTACGATATTGTTTTTTTACTATTTTTAGCCAAATGCCACATAAATCGCTTCTGTATTCTTTCCAGTCTAAGTGAGTGTGTAGCAAAATGAGGCCTCCACACAACACTACAGTAATCCAAAATACTGCGTACAAGGCTGTTAAACAATAATATTTTTGGACGACTACTGCGAAATACCTTTGTATTTCGCAGAATAAATCCCAACATTCTGGAAGCTTTGCCTATTATCATCTCTAAATGGGGTTGAAATGTCATTTTTTTATCGAAAACCACGCCTAAGTCCCTTATTTGATCCACTTCCCGGATCTTTTGCTGATCTATATGGTAGCCTGAGTCTATAGGGTGTGTTTTCCTGGTGAATTTAATGTGAAAGCACTTTTTTATATTCAATTGCATGCCATTTCGGTCACACCACTGGACCAGACTGTCAATGTCACTCTGAATACAAATACAATCTTGAAATGATTCGACTGTTCTTCCGAATTTCAAATCATCCGCATACATAAATTTCTCCGAAAAATGGAAACACTTCGGTAGATCGTTAACAAAAAGGTTGAACAGGACTGGGCCCAGATGTGAGCCCTGAGGTACTCCAGATGTAATATCTCGAGAGTCAGACGTAAATCCATTGACCACAACAAAATTATATCTTATTTTATTCTATTCTATTCTTAATCTTGACAATTATAAAACGAATCAATTCTAAGATCCTAACACAAGCCCACCATCCCAATCGAACTTCTACAATCGACAAACAAAAGTAGTCCTATCAAAATGTTTCAATTATGTATACCCTAATGGCGATCAAACGATGCAAACTTCCAAAGACTACCAATTCCCTGATCAAACAATATACCGGATAGGAAGAAAATGGTATCAAATTAGTTTCAAAGATCAAAGGGTCGAATTCAACAAGTAATATAACTTTTTACTGGAGGCTTTGAGCAAATGCTTTGGGCAGTACCCTCATGGTTTCCACAAGAGAGATAACAGAGAAGTTCGGTATTTGTTCGAAGAACTACCAGGGAACTATGATTATGAAGATTTCTGTTTAAATTTATCATTAAACTTCATATTACCTTTGTAGATTGCAAGTTGAGGATAATCGGGTAGACGACTAATTTTTATTTGAATGTACGTCTGGTAAATTATTTATAAACATTAGACACGTATTTTTTATTTTCTTACAGAAACGAATAGTTTCGAAGATATGTTGATTTGAAATGTGGCGTTATGTCACTTCTTTGTACATTTTATACGTAGAAATGACGTTTTAGCCCCCACTCCTGTCGCGGAGAACCTAACGGGTAACCGGGGCTCCGGCTCGACGTGCAAGAGAAGGAACGGGGTGGTTTTTAGTCAGTAAGAGTCTGACACTCCCTTCCGCCTCACCCAGGCGGGAGCAGTCATTCGATGATTTTCCCCCCTTAAAAAAATAATAATAAAAAAAGCCCCCACTCCTAAACTTTGATTCGTTTTATCTAAGTATTGTTTTATTATAGGTACGACAAAATAAAAAAATACGTGGCTAATATTTTTTAATTACCTAACTTACGGACTAATTATATTTTTAATTTACACACCCTGTCATTATCCCCATTATGTACGGTGCTTTGTCGAGGATTCATTAAAGGAGAAGTGAAGAGTTCTTTATTAGTTTTTTAACCGACTTTAAAAAAGGAGGTTTTTAGTCTTATTTGTATGTTTGTATGTATGTCTGTGTGTATATATGATAAACGATTTTGATGCGAGTTTTAGAAAAGTGTTTGTTATAATATATACACTTAGGAGAAGGTTGTAGTAAATTAATTTACCAATTTCGAAAAATGAGGGGTTTGTAGTCGGTTTTTTAAACGTAATTTACAAAATATTTCTTATTTAAATTAATTTAAAAAGTGACACTAAGCATTATTGCGGTACTTTAATTTCCTATGAAATAAAACTAAAATTAAGTAATCAATATTTATTCAAGAATATCTTTGTACATTTTATTCATAAATCAACTATTTTGAATACCTAATACTTATAACTTAATTATAATGCAATAAATACCTGGGCAATAATTTATTTTTTAAAATACCTTAATTAAACAGTCTTAAATCTAAAATAAATAAATGCATTATTAGACAGTGCTAATCTTAAAATCGAGAAAATACACCTAAAATTAAATTATAAATATATGACAGAACAGAACATGTTTTGGACAAATAAAAGTAAAGTTATATTTTGTGTGACCGCGATGCCAAAATATAAGTAGGTAGGTTTTTTTACAGGATAAGCCGGTAAACGAGCTGACGGATCACCTGATGGTAAGCAATCTGCGTCGCCCATGGACACCTGGAACACCAGAGGTATTACAAGTTCGTTACCGGCCTTTTAGGGATTAGGAATTTGAGGATTGTTGATGATTCAGGGATTGGGAAGATTGGGAAGGGGGGAATTAATTCATTTAATAATGCAGTATCATATTATAATTCACCAATTGGTGATATTCACACGTTCTGTGGTGAATATTAAATATTATTCAAATCTGTAAATTAAAAATGAATTATTCATGAATAAACTGTACATTACTGGAAATGCAATAGCAGTATTTATATTGATGGCTCTATTGTTAGCAATGATTGAGCGTTCAGCATTTATCGGGAGTGCTTTAAAAGTCCGTTTAATGTTTTAAAATGGTTTTAAAATATTAATTACATTGTCTCTTAATTATATTTATTCAGATGTAAGTACATTAGTAAAGCTACTGAAATGAATATTGGGGAACTGTTCATTTGTAAATGTAAATGTAAATGTAAATGTAAATGCAAGTTAATGTTGTCGTTTACATTTTTTTATTTTACTTAGGGATCAGTTTTAATTTTTGATATAAACTTATTTATTACTGTGACAAGACAAAATTTTGTTATTTTACTAGTAATTTCGTGTAGGTGCTTTTACGTGTATTTTTGTACTACGATAATTATTATAACAACTAAGATGTTTTTTTACATGACAAACGAAAATCCTTTCAAACTACCTAACAAAAGAAGAACCACACAGAATCCCAAAATAAATAAACATACCATAAGCGTTATTAAAACATTTTAAAATAACAATGACAATAAATAAACTTATATTAAATCTAATTACGAACCACCACTTATAACTACTTATGGCGTTTAAGCAACAGCGCCAGGCGCAGTGATGTAAGTCGGGGAGGGTGTGGGCCTGTGTTTCATCATGTTATATGCCCTGTTTGAGGCCCAGTCCTTGCCGTATCCCCCACTGGCTGAATAGGCGTAATTATTATTGTAATCTGCTGAATAGTCGCTTGAGTCACTGCTTCCGAAATAGGAGTAGGACATCGGGTGGTGGTGCTGGAAAAGAAGAAAATATTTTTTATTTAAAGACTTTATGTATCATATTATACTTTTTCGAGGTAGTGAAGTGTGGTGGATTTACAAGTATTTTAATATTTAAGTGATATTTAATGGAATAATCGACAAATAAACGGACAAATCATCACATCTCCAGGAAGAGTCTCACATTTTGGATTCATGTATTTTATAACATAACATAACATCACACCTTTTATTCCCGAATGGGTACGCAGAGGTGCACACAGAATTAACACCCACTTTTCACTATTTATGTTATGAGTCCCATGTAATAGGGGGTGAGCCTATTGCCATGTCCCGGTTTTTAAAACCCAGTAATTCACAACCCGGGAATCGAAACCGAGATCCCTTGCCCGGCAGTCGCACTTGCAATCACTCGGCCAACAAGGCAGTCATCATCATGTCACAGTCATCAGTTATTTATGTATTTTCTAGAAAGAAATAACACCGTTTTTCAAACTGTTTTGATATATTCCGAAACAAAGACAAATTTATTAGTAGTTTTACTAAACATCAATATTGAAACATAAAATAAATTAGTAGTAGTAGTAGTAGTAGGTACTTTAAAAGTGTAAATATGAAAACAAACTTATTTGTATTAGTGTACAATATTTCATATCAATTTCGTAATTTAAATTCAGAATTGAAATGATTTTCGCCATTTTATACTCGTTGTATGGTCAGATTAACTTATTAATTAACAATGTGTATAATTCGAGTTGAAATTTTAAATTTTATATATATGAGAACATAATATATAGACATCATGAAAAGGGTTAAGAGTAAAATGGATTTATTGTCTATATTTTAAAATCTGTTAAAAAATATATTCTAATGATCATCAATGCCACCGCGAAGAACACTCCGGGCGTCGGGGATCGCGGGACGATCTCCGGCCACCGTAAGCGCGGGACTGCGGACGGCGAGCATGGGTGGCTCGCCACCCGACCAGAATCAGACCTGGGTGCTTACTCTTGAAGTCAATCTCAATGTCAATGCATTTTCAATCCAAAAAAAACTCAATAATTATTCAATGTCAAAACTAAGCAACCACAATCGTAGCTGTTAAAATAGCATTCAGAATACGGAATATAAAGCCAAACTCAATACCATTTAGTTCAATAAATATCTACGTAATAATACGGATGCAATGGGCGCTAGTGTTGCAACTCAAGAGTACGAAATTTCACAATACCAATGTCGATCGATCGGAATTGGATTCAAGAGTAAGCCCCCTGAGCGTCGCGTTCCGCCCGCGCCTTAAAGAGCCATCAGACCACCACGGATGGGGCCCAATAGGGCTGATGCCGATTCGGAGCCGCGGAAAACATAACGGATTACCGGGGCTCCGGCTCGAAGCGCAGGAGAAGGAACGGTGTGGTTTTTAGTCAGTAAGAGTCTGACACTCCCTCGCGCCTCACCTAGGCGGGAGAAATCATTCGATGATTTGCCCCCCTTAAAAAAAGTGATCATCAGTGCCTTATAAATATAATAGTATATTTCTAAAACAAATTTTATGTACACGAAGTCCGTATAAATATACGTGACAGTAGTGAATATTGCACAATGCATAATCATACAAACTAGTCACTATTTATGTCAAACATTAAATCAATTGCTTATCATTCTACGAACAAGTGCTAGGCTCAATACGTGTGGAGTTATATGATGTACTAATGCATGAACCCTGCTTTTGTTACATATTTTTAATAACAATTAGAGCATACAATTATATGTTGAAGCAGTCAAATTATGGGTTACATTTGGTAAGAAAATAACACTGATTCGCTACAGAAGCAATAGCTTTAATTTTAATAAAGTTTTAATTTTTTGAAGCTACTACTGTGTCTATACTATAGCACAAAAAACAGCAATAATGCTTTAACCGATCAAGATTGTTTGAAGAAAAATTAAACTGTCAAACACCGTGAGGACACCGGTGACCGCAACCTATTGTTCTTTAATTGTGTCTATAATGACGGTACTCAAAGAGTTAAATTACTCCTCGCAAGTTATTTCTCGTTTTTTCCTTTTAAAAAATAAAACTTCACACAAGTATTTGCTCCTGTGTATTACTGGGTTTAAAAAAAATCTCAGTAGTAGCACGGGGTATGGAATTGTGCCCGGTATTTATATAGCAATAGGCTCACCACCTCTTACATGGGACTCATAACATAAATAGTGAAAAGTGGGTGTTACATTGTACAGTGGCATAATGTGCACCTCTGCCTACCCCTTCGGGGATAAAAGGCGTGATGTTATGTTAAGTTATGTTGTGAAATATTTCTTTCTTTCTTAAGTGCTTTCGTAGAAATCGTAACATGTCCTAAATTCTATGAAAGGTATGAGACATCATTACTTGTAAAAAGAAAAACGTATTATATTAAATAAGTATGTATAAATACTTTTATCTCATATTTTTATTATATGTATAAAGCTGAAAGGATTTGTTTGTTTGAATGCGCTGATCTCCGGCACTACTGGTCTGATTTGAATAACTCACATTAAGTTGGATAGTGCATTTATCGAAGAATGGTTACCGGCTATAAAATATCACGCTACAATCAATAGGACCTAAGCAGAACGGGTGAAATCAAAGTCAAAAGTAAAAATCATTTATTTCAATTAGATCAGAAAGCCACTTTGAACGTCAACAAAAAATTAAAAGTGGATCTATTTGCTCATTCCAAGGTGTAGATTCCTATGGAGAAGAACGAGCAAGAAACTCCATAGGTTACTCTTTCTCAATCAGGTTCACAATACAATTCTCTAGTTACACAGTTTTGTTGGTTGGATTGTGCGAGAACAATGTAACACTAAAAATCCAGTCAAAGAGCGCGGTAGTAGCAAAATATTAAACAAGAAAGGATAAAATCTCTCATTGTTATACATTTTTTTATGGAATTGGCTGGTAAACAAGTAGACGGATCACCTAATGGTAAGCTATCGCTGCAGCCCGTGGAGACTCTCAACACCAAAGGCATTAGAAGTGCTTTACCGGCCTTTTGGGTATTAGGAATTTGAGGTTATTGGGGGTACGGGGATTAGAAAGAATGTGGATTAGGGGTAATTCAGATTCCAGTAATATTTTTATATTGACTTGAGTTTCTTTTGAAAATCGTGTTAGTAACACTATTATTCATAACTCTAAAATGGCTAAATCAATTTGGCTGAGAATTGGTGAGGAGGAATTAGAACCAAAAGATGGACATAGGATACAAAAAACCCTAAAAACGAAAACGGGCTAAAACAGAATTGCGCGCACGAAGTCGCGGGGAGAAACTAGTTAAATATACCTACATGATAAACACACATTACATGTATAATGTACTCATCACGTACCGGATTCTCTAAATAATAAATACATAGTCAGATAAATAATATCGCTTATATGAATAATCTTGCTTAGAAGAAAATGTCTGAAAGGTATAATGGAAAAATATTTTTTTATGCCATAAGCCGGTAAACGAGCAGACGAATCACCTGATGGTAAGCAATCGGCGTCGCCCATGGACACCTGGAACATCAGAGGCGTTACAAGTACGTTACGCCTTATGAGGATTAGGAGTTTGAGGATCGTTGGGGATTCAGGAATTGGGGAGATTGGGGAAGGGGAGGGTAATTGGGCCTCCGGTAACCTCCGGTCTGGGAATCGAAATTAAGCCTCTATCTGAACGCAAGGAGACGTATAACGAGGGAGTTACTTAAAACCATAATAGGTAACAGAAACTATGTAAATATCGACTCACAAACATAAAGTCGTACAATATTCATATTTGCTGAACAATTTGATACCAAGGACATTGTGGACAGTGGTATCTATTAGATGAAAGCTCCTATCGAGTGGCTAGAGATAATATTATTTATTTCGATGCGTTTGTTTCGCGAGTGGATGACTGGATGACTGGATGATAAGACACAGATATAGTTCAGATTCTTTGTGGATAGAAACATTTTTTCTATAAGTTTATTCATTTTTTGTATATATTTGATGGGCCGACGTTTGACCACTATCTCGCCTGATGGTAAGCGATGATGCGGCCTACGATGGACCACGTCGTTCCATAAGCAATCTATTTAACCTATTCACCTATTAACTTTAATACAAAAAAAATTTTGTACATTCATACATACATAACCTCACGCCTTTCTTCCATGGGGATCAAGAGACTATGGAACGCCAATAGCTACGATTCTTACATACCTCTTTCGCATCATCAACAGTCATCAGTATTGTCATGCATGCTCGTCGGTTAAGTTAATATTGCCAATCTGGTTAATAAATGTATGAAAATCGTTTTTACTCTTCAATAAAGCTAACAGGCGTCTGATGGTAAACCAAAGGACACCGGCAATTTATACTAAAATGTAGTTTCACTACCTCGTTGTACTAGTAGGACTGCCTCGTTGGCCGAGTGGTCGCAAGTGCGACTGCCGGGCAAGGGGTCTCGGGTTCGATTCCCGAGTCGGGCAAAGTATTACTGGGGTTTTTTAAAAAAAATCTCAGTAGGAGCACGCAGTCTGGAGTCTGGTATATGGCAATAGGCTCAACCCCTATTACACGGGACTCATAACATAAATAGTGAAAAGTGGGTGTTACATTGTACAGTGGCATAATGTACACCTCTGATAACCTCTAATAAAAGGCATAAACAATTATTGGTTACATTGTTTGGTTTTACTCAACTTAATTCAACAGAATAATATATCGTCTCCTCAAAATGACAGTCTCTATGATTAACCATTACATAAAATTGCATACACAGCGTATTAACTCCTGATTGCTTTAGCCTAAATGGATGTGTGGATGGACGCGAAATGAAACACAGTTCAAGCATTGTCCGCGTATTGAACGAATCACATTCGCTCACACCAAACACATTTCGAATTAATTGATTTCTGATTGGACGGTTTTCGACCATTTTCTTTACGTCTACAGACTGAAGGAAAACAATGACAATTGCAGATTTTTGTAGGTAGTATTTCAAAGTAACTGTATGGACCTTTTGTTTTTTTTAAACAATACGTAGTTATAAAAATTCGTCGCAATGTCCCATCTATTCTTTATACTAGTTCGGTAGTGAAAACATAATAATGTAATCTGTTTTTTTTATAAACTACTATTTGTAACAGACTAGAATTGCAGACTGCCGCCGGGCAAGACGTCTCGAGTTCGATTCTCGGGTCAGGCAAAGTATTAATGGGTTTTTAAAAACAAAATTCAGTAGTAGCACGGAGTTTGGAAATGAGCCTGGGGCTGGGGCAATAGGCTCACTCCTCATTACATGGGACTCTAATAAGTAGTGAAAAAGGGTGTTACATTGTACAGTGACATTAAGAGTTATGTTATAAGTAAAAAAACTTACGGCTTGCCTTACAGTAAATCGCCGTAGGCTGAGCAGACTAGCTCAAGGTCAGCATCACGATTCCGTTGCCGATCATGTAGAATATAGTTTAATGAAGTCATTGTTAGCTATCAAGATTCCTATTTACTAAAGAAATGGGGCATTAATTGAACCTTAACCTATTTTTTCTCATGTACTTAGACCGAGGCCGTAATCAACATCAACATCTACACTAATATTATAAAGAGGAAACATTTCATTTTTTGTTTGTTTGCATTGAATAAGCTCCGAAACTACTGGGCCGATTTGAAAAATTATTTTACCACTGTGATCCTATATAATCCGTGATGAACTCAAGATGTATTTAAAAAGAGAAAAATAAAGGAACCGTATGAAATATAATGTAACCTGATGTGTCGAATTCACCAGAAAATCCTTATGCGCTGTTATTGCAGAATCCAAATTCTGCCAGAAGTCATTAATTATAAGTGCGGGAGAGCCATGCTTCGGCACGAATGGGCCGGCTCGACCGGAGTAATACTACGGCCTCACAGAAGACCGACGTGAAACAACGCTTGCGTTGTGTTTCGTCGTGTGAGTGAGGTTACCAGAGGCGCAATTAGCCCCCCCCCTCCCCAATCCCCCCAATCCCCGAATCCCCAACGATCCTCAAACTCCTAATCCCCAGTCCGGTAAAGCACTTGTAACGCCGCTGGTGTTCCAGGTGTCCACGGGTAACGCCGATTGCTTACCATCAAGTGATCCGTCTGTACGTTTACCGGATTATGCCATAAAAAAAAATTCTACGCGGACGAAGTCTCAGGTAACAGCTAGTAAATGATAAACCAATATTGAATGTTTATTTACAAACTCCAATTAGCCACAACTGTAAGATTGAGGAAAGAATGTAGATTATGTAAAACATCAATATTCTTTTCGTCGTTCGGTCGCAATTTTATCAACAAAATATCTGTATTAGTTAAAATTATATCATAACAAGCCAAAATTACTAACAAGGAACATTATACTGTATTGAGCAATTGATTAGCGTTATTGTATTCAAGTACATAAAATGTTTTACTAAAATAACGGTTCCTAGAATTTCTTTGTCACGTTTTTCAACTTCAAAAGACTTCATTATGATATTTTCTTGGCAATTTCCATAATCTTCCTCTTTAACTTCCGAAGCTTGAACAAACATTGTAAAAATGGGAATTATTCAAGTCAATCCACCCTTTTCCCAGATCTTTGCTTAGCAACAGATTGAACGCTTTTATTTTTGTAGTTCCTTTCGATAACATTCGACAAATTAATTATTTTGTTTTTATGGCATAAGCCGATAAACGAGCAGACGGATCACCTGATGGTAAGCAATTGGCGTCGCCCATGGACACCTGGAACACTTTTTGGGAATCAGGAGTTTGAGGATTGTTGGAGATTCAGAAATTGGGGAAGGAGAGGGTAATTGGGCCTCCGGTAACCTCACTCACACGACGTTATCACTTTAGTCAAATACATACTTTTCAATTCACTTAATCGACTAGCATTTTCGAGGACTGATCTCTTAAGCCTATATTTTTTGTGTTAATAGCAAAGATAACTCCATTAAATCTTAAAAATAGCCACCGACCAATGGCCTACGCACGTGACACCGCCATTTTGTGAACCGCACCATTTTGTGGTCACAGTGTCATAAAATATAACGTTAAACCCCAATTTTACAGAAAAATTGCCACAATCTGCAATGATTGGTGAAATTGCTCAATTATGCTTCCCAGTTGCAAAACGAAATATATCTAGTGGGTAAAATGTGAATTTTAAAATACAGTATTTAAATTTTTGATTGGTATCGCGTGCTTTGAAATCCCAATAAAATACCGATATAAAAATCCATTTGAAGATTTTGCATGATCTGAGTTAAACGTCTTGTTTTCTTCTATTTTTTGTTTTCGATTTTCTCCACTATGAACTACGTTTGAAACTGTTGAGCGTAGAATTTATGACGAACCTCTCATAAGTAAAAGACACCCATTGTGTTCAGCCGTAAGCTATCACGGAGGTAAGTTGATAAAACCCAATTGAATGTCACTCCTACCTCTTTAAACAAATAAACACTAATGAAAAAACTTTCCAAAGGGTAACAGTCAAGTCACACACTGGGACACAATTTAATTTATTTGCATTTCACCTGAACCCCAGCCAATGTATACTGGACCCGTGTCAAGAGATTTTGAAAAGGGTTGCCCTACCATTCTCAGCTAGCCTCATTTACTTTTCTATTAATTAGGAAGTCGAGTGGAATAATACTTTAAAGTAGTCATTAGTATATTACAGGAGTTAATTAAATTAATAAATATGTGTTGGAGATGTTTACTGCGAATTAAGGTAAGACAGGGTTTAGAAATAGTTGATGTTCCACCTGACAGTGGCATACTAAGGGGAAGACCTTTGATCCAGGTGTTGATGATAATAATGATGACGAGGGTAAAGATGTTCATGAAGTACATCCACATTTCACCCATATGTTACTAGTTCCATCAAAACGAAAATGTATGATTTATTACGTCGAATTATCATCAGACAAGTTTCATCTGGCGTATAACATGTTTATGTGTCAAATTCTGTATAAACAACGTTGTGGCGGCCCGCTTCTCATGCACAAGGGTGCGGGTTTGAAACTTATCAACGGCAAGTACCAATGTGACTTTTTCCGCGATATATGTACTTTTTATGATTATTGAAATGCCACTGACAAACGGTGACGGAAAACATCATGAAGGAAACTAGGCTTATAATTTCAAATTATAAGTTTGAAATCGCCAACGCGCATTGAGCAAGTGTGGTGATTATTGCTTAAAAAATTTTCCGTGTGAGAAGAGGCCTTTGGTCAGCAGTGGCTACTTATGGACTTATGTTGATGATGATAATGATGACACAAAAAATAACATTTATGGTAGAACACAATTCCAAATTCAAATTGTTAGGAATTATGAAATATGGAACAATCGAAACTGTTACCCAAATTATTGATCTTACCTAACTAGACACCCTAAGGGTGCGTCCATATTTAACGAATGCTCCGCGAATGCACAGCTCGCGAGCCGTTCGCGAGATGCGCGCGTGCGTTAGAAATTATTATTTATTCGTATAAATAATAGTTTTCAATGCACTTTGTATGAGTTGAGCATTGCCGTGCCGTTGCCGTGACTGCACGCGCGCAGCTCGCGAACGACTCGCGAGCGGCACATTCACCAAATGTGGACGCACCCTAATATTTTAAAAGACCAACGATAAAATGTTAAAGAAGATCATTCGTTTCATACCTTACAAGCCTTCAAGGTGCTTAGTACACTGGGTAGCAGCAGAGCGGCAATCAATAACAGCTTCTTGATCAGCAGTACTGACAGCAGGATTGGTATGAGCAGGAGCTTCAGCTTGAGGACTGCAAACAGTGTCAGCAGTGGTACTATTACTGCTAGCTTCTTCTTTTTGCCTCGAGCTGGAAATAAGAAAAAATAATATTGAGATTTTTATGACTATCATGGGGTTGTGTTCTTTCAAAACATTGAGCCAGATAGATACGGTATGTGTTCAGTACAAACTTTTTCCGTACTGAAGTTTTTAATTTTGTCGTTTATAAATTTGTATTTGTATTATTTTAGAATATCAATATACCGTTTGGGGTTGAAACTTTAGGGCCGTGGGGCCCAAGTGCACATCTTCTTTACAAAGATATTGTAAGGAGGATGGTTGACACTTCAGGTGATCGAAGGGCTGGCTACTACCTTGGACAAAGGTTAAGCATTGCCATTCAACGTGGCAATGCTGCCAGTCTTTTGGGTACCCTACCTCACGATAGCGATGAGAAAATTTTTTTTAATGCCGTAAGATAGCATTTTTATTATTATTACATTTTTTAAGGTGTAAATATTTTAGTTCATAGTTATTTATATTCTAAGTTGTATATGTTTTCATTTAGTAATAGTTAATATTAATTTTATTTATTTTATACTTTAGAAAATATCTTATAGAATATTCTATCATGAATAATTGAATATATATATTAACGTCAACTTAACGGTTAATCTCTTCGTCTGCAAGGTTTTGGCACAGTGGCTGTTGCACAACGTGTCGCGGGTTCGATTCTTGTACGGAACAAACAACTCCTTGTGTTATCCACAGATTATTGTTCGGAGTCTGCGTGTCATGTGTCATGTGTACGTGAACTTGTACATTTGTAAACGCACCCACGACACAGGAGAAAACACTAGTGTGGAGCAAAGTTTGTAAAAAAAACATCTGACGTATTGTTGTAGTTGTAAAAGACTCGACATCGACATCTAATAATATGAGTAACAAAAATTATATTATTGCTTCAAAAATTGCAATAAAAAATTCAACATTATCTGATCCGGAAATCAAATTCTTCCTCTTTTAGCACTCTAAACTAACGCGGAAACTACAAAAACCAACGAACCATTACCTTAACCATTGAACCAAAAAAACAAGAAATTAATCCACCACGCTCAAAGTCACAATCGTGCAAAGCAAACGAAATAATTATGGACAACAAAATTATTTAGTCGCTTACCAACTTTGGGATTACGGTTCAAATTCATCAAGAACGTTAAAATTGAATTATACAGTGATTTAGTTCAGGTCGGAACATCTGTCGCATCAGGTCAGGTCCCACGACTTGGCCTCAATAGTTATGACCTTAACGATCGCTTGTAATTACAATGATATGCTCATTATTACCGTCTGTTAATTGCACTCGTTTTTGTTATAGTTAGGAAGACGGGTTACTTTTTTAGGTTGTTTTTTTTTGAGGTTATGAGGTTGTTTTGACTGCCTCGCTGGTCGAGTCGTCGCAAGTGCGACTACTGGGTAAGAGGCTCGTCTGGTTTCGCGGATCGGGCAAAGTGTTACTGGATTTTTCTTAATTTGCAGTGGCCGGTATAACCCCGAAGGGTTAGACTGAGGTGCACATTATAGCACTTCATGCCACTATACATTGTAACACCCACTTTTCCCTATTTATGTTATGAGTCCCATGTAATAGGGGGTGAGCCTATTGCTATATACCGGGCACATTTCCAGACTCCGTGCTACTACTTTTTTGTTAATCTTACGTACGTTGGCACAAATTTTGCAATTTTTTTTCCTCATACAGTAATTTCATTTCTTCCTTATAACCCGTTTCTTTATTTTTCTTTTAAAAAGACAAAGACAATCTCTTTTCATTATGTTCCGACTTCTCAGTACTGAATATTTTACACTTCTATTACCCGCTTTCTGCGAATTCGCACCAAGATTATGCAGTGCACTTTATTCTGTAGAACTAAACGAAATACCCTGCCAACAATTTCGCGGTACAAAGCGAAAATATTCTTGAATTTTTAGTTGAAAATTTGAGAAATAGCTGACACCTAGTTGGCTTAGCTAGAAGTGTATGGTGTGCCAAATCTGTTCGAAAACTTTCTCCGATATCTATGATAACTGCGGTTACGAAATTGTAGTAATGATCGGTGTTGAACAAATAGATCAATAGCGGTTTATTTTTATGGTTGATTAGTAATTTCTTTTATATATTATGTACTTTTAAACTTTAATATTTGCCTTTAGATATAAAATTAAATTCCATTTGATTAAAATTTGGTGAATAATGCTATATATATTTTGTGTGGTTAAATTTTGTGGCGATATCAATTTTATAACTTTGGAGAATTCATATTAATCGTGTAATTTAGAAATAATATTCATAATTTTGGTGTCTACTACTGATTATAAAACGAATTCGTACACACCTGTCTTAGCATAACCGACATCACGTTTCTGGACATTTTTAGTTCCAGTATTATCCCCGTCATTGTGTTCAGTATCTGGGAATCAAAGAAAACGTATATTTTTGACTTTATGAAGTTAGCAAAGTTGATGTGCTCATCAGGTTTTTTTCTCACAACTAGGCATTATTAATTGGTTACCTTTATTTTTCTACAATATGTAGGCGTCTGTGTTTTAACTACAAACTTTATAGACTGAGGCCTTAATCAGATTTGACTAAAGGTCAATATTTTATGTAGCAATTTATCCACCGCAGTTAAATGTGATACAGTTTAGAGCAAATCTCTTGCAAGAGGTTTAATTTATGCAAATCATTATAATCTTCGAACGACAATACGCCTTGTGAATCACAGATAAGGTATATAAAATATACAATGACCCTTTCAATAAAATCTTCAAGACTCTCGAGGAAGGCCTTACATTTGAAACCCAAATACAGGCCGATTTGCTCTTGACCGTATTTCTTTTAAGGGACAAAAATACTTTCGAAACCTATCGATATAGGGTGAAAGCACAATTTGCGGTCGCCACTAGCCCACAAGAACAAACAGAGCAAAGTAACCACACCGGTAATGATGTCATTCACCCTATCTTGATACAGGCCTACTGTTTAGGTTTGGCGGCCATGTTTTGCGTCGAAGGCAGTGGTAAATATAGAAGGCATGACATAATGTAAAGGGTGTTTTTGTTTGACTAATGATTTGGTTACAATACAAAATTGGAACACGACATGTTATTGGTATTAGGTTATATTTAGGAATATTGTGTAAAAAATGGAATACTGGTGGGTTTGACAAATAAACGATCTATCTATCTTTCTTTCATACAAATACTTAAACTATAATAAATTCGCATCAAACCACAAATCTACACAACAAATACGAAGTTGATGAACATAACTTAAGCGACATTCATTTTTAATCAGCTTTAGAACACCACTTTACACTTTGATGGAAAAGTTCGTCTCAAGACTTCGTGCGAAGTTTTTAAGTGCGCTAAACTTCTAAACGTCAGTAACAATAAACAGCTAAGTAAGCTATCGAATCAGACAGGTTGAAACTTTATTGTTGAAACGTATTTTTGCTGGATGAGTTGTGAAGTGGATGTTGATGCGACCGTCCAGCAAGGCGTCTTGGAATTGATGACGTTGGCCTAGATATGTCAAGTTAAAATCAAATCTCGCTGCTTCGTGTACTATTTAGTTAGAAGCATTGTTTTTTTTTAAGGGAGGACAATCATCGAATGACTTCTCCCGCCTAGGTGAGGCGAGAGGGAGTGTCAGAATCATACTGACTAAAAACCACCCCGTTCCTTCTCCTGCACGTTGAGCCGGAGCCCCGGTTACCCGTTAGGTTCTAGAGTCTAAAATAGCTTTAAGATTGCCTCTGTTATAAGAGACTTTATAATTAGGTGTAACATACTGTGTGATGAAGTCACCTTTATTATAACTTTACAGTTGTGCACTCCTGTTTAGAAACATAATATAACATCACGCCTTTTATCTCTGAATGGGTAGGTGGAAGTGCACATTACGGTACTTAATGCCACTGTGCAATGTAACACCCACTTTTCACTATTGATGTTATGAGTCCCATGTAATAGAGGGTGAGTCTATTGTCATATACCGGGCACATTTCCAGACTCCATGCTACGACTGCAATATTTTTTAAGCCAGTAATTATTTCCTCGACCCTGGAATGAAACCCGAAACCCCTTGAACGGCAGTTCCACTTGCGACCACTCCGCCATTAAGGCACTCCTGTTTGAAAGAAAGAAAGAAAGAAAGTTTATTTCATGCTAAGAAACAAGTGACATGTACAGATAGTCGTTCTATTAGTAGGTACTGATGGCTACATGTTCATGTCCCAAGTCTGCCGTGAAATGGAACTAGTTCAGCATGTGCAAGACAAGGCCTTGCGCTGGTATTCTTCTAGCCCCTTAACGTCCAATTTCAATAACCTATCTATCTTCAGATTTGCTTACTAGAGATAGAATGTTAACACTTTTTGTATGGAGCTTATGTCAAAATCCTATCTCTAGTAAGCAAATCTACAGATAGATAGGTTATTGAAACTGGCTGTTAGTGACTCGCGGACGTTGTTTATAGTTGGACTATTACGAACGTGCGAACTGTCATAAGTTATTTTTATCAGATCTCTCGCCCACATTGGCTACCGCGCAATATGTCGCGGTATCGATTCCCACACGAAACAACTCTTTGTGTGATCCACAGATTGTTGTTCCGGGTCTGGATGTCATGTGTATGTGAAATCGTATGTTTGTAAACGCATCCACGACACAGGATAAAAACTTAGGGTGGAGTAATATTTTGAAAGAAAAAACATATTTCAGAATTTTCTCAATACTTTTTGTAACAATCTCTTATTCTAGGAAATCGTTTGTTTTGTCCACTTCAGTTATTGTCTCATCAAATTATGGAATTTCGACGAAAGGAATATTAACCCGAATTGAAAAGGTCACAGGCTAGTTAGTATTTGGGTGGATTTACCAAGAAGTTCAATCAAGTTGAAGAAAGAAGAGTTGATAATACAGAAATGATTTTTGTCCTTCATTAATTTGGATAGACGTTTATGTAACCAGTAGAACTGTATAAATTCAATAGATTCTCAACTTAATTAGAGAAGAAGTAAAATTAAAGATAACGCTAATAACTCTTTAATATAAATTAGGATATTATATTAAGTAAATGGCGTGGGTCGCCCGCCATCGAATATGACGCCCAATGATTGGTCGAAACGTTATCTATGAAATATTCCTAATACGATATGAAATGAAAGGAAATTAATAAATATGAAAACGAATAATAAGGTAGGAACAACCTAACAACCATAAACTTAAAGGCTTGAGTATAATTTTATTATGAATGAATTAAAACAAAAATTTCATACTTAAGTGCGTAAGAGCTATGCTTTGCCACGAATGGGTTGGCTCGACCATAGTGATACCACGGTCTCACAGAAAACCGACACTAACCAACGACAAAAAGCTAAAACTGAAACTAAGCTTGCACTATGTTTCGTCGTATGACTGAGGTTACTGGAGGCCGAATTAACCCCTTCCCCAATCTTCTTAATACCCGAATCCTCAATAATCCTCAAATTTCTAATCCCAAAAAGGCCGGTAGCGCCCTTGTAACGCCTTGGTGTTCCAGGTGTCCATGGGCGGCGCCGATTGCTTACCATCAGGTGGTCCATCTGTTCGATAACTGGCTTATTCCATAAAAAAACTTGACTAAAAAGTTTATACTCAAATATTTTAAATTATTTGTTAGACCTTTTCAAGTTTAGCCTTAATCCTTACTAATATTATAAATGGGAAAGTGAGTTTGTTTGTTTGTTTGTTCCACTTACACGCCGTAACTACTAAACCGATTGCTTTGAATTCTGCAAACGTAAATTTTGAAGTCTGGATTAAATAATAGGGTACTTTTTAACCCGGAAAAATGTGATATTCCCGAGGGAAAACAAAAATATTGGTATAGATGGCGCGGTGTGTATTGGTATATGTCACATAGGCTACTTTTTATCATTTTGTGATGCGAGCGAAGCCGCGGGTAAAAGCTAGTAACAATAATAATTGGGACATCTTTGTCAAAGGGTGACTTTGTTTAAAGGGAACTTAATTTCCGATATCTACTGGCTTTGGCATTTACAAGCGAATCATTATTTTCTAAATACTAACCGGTCCTTTGTACATTGTCAAAACTGTTTTCTTATTAAATATTTTACATTGACCTCATTACTGACTGCGTCATTGGCCGAGTGGTCGCAAGTACTACTGCCGGGCAATGGGTCTCGGGCTCGATTCCCGGGTCGAGCGAAGTATTACTGGGTTTTATAAATTCTCAGTAGTAGCACGGAGTCTGGAATTGTGCCCGGTATAGGGCAATAGGCTCACCCCCTATTACATGGGACTCATAACATAAATAGTGAAAAGTGGGTGTTACATTGAACAGTAGCATGTTATTTCATATTGCACAGACAAATACTTGGAGTTGAATGGGATCATTATTATAAGAGAAAGTCCTACTATTATAATGTAGCAGCTACTTCCGCGCGATCTGCTCGGCCCCTATTAGTTAAAGCGTGATGTTCTATAGCCTATAGCCTTCCTCAATAAATGGACTATACAACATAAAAAGAATTTTCCAAATCAGACCAGTAGTTTTTGAGATAATCGCGTTCAAAAAACAAACAAAGCAACTCTTTAAGACGCTGGCATAGTAGTAGTAGTCACGTGCCACCATATGTCTCCTTAGGAATGTGTCATAACAGGCGTTGAACCGTGAGGGCTCCGGATCAGATCACTTTTAGAAGACCCAGTGCCCCTTACAGGTGTTGAAGGTGGCTAATCCTTGTCATAGATATATATATAGACCAGAGTGGCGTGGTGGTGTATTTAGGCACAAATCCCACACTGTCTCCCTCATAAGTTAGGCGCCTTTTGTTTCTAGCCGTCATCAAAATAATTTGACGAATGCATGCATCGTTCAAAAGACATAGGCAAATTTTGCATACGCATGACGTGCAATTGCCGGGCCGTTGCCGCAACCTGGACGGAGTTTTCATTGTTTTTACGCAAGATACATCTTGCAATCGTCAACTGACAAAATCGTGAATATACCGTTAGGTTATTTAGACAGTAGCCCCAACTAATCAATAAATCTATTGTACTAAATTATCACGACTCATGAATCCCAATAACTGACTGTTTGGGGTCAAAAAAGGTTATAACAAAGTCCATAGATTTCAATGGGCCATATCCTCGATATATTTTGATTTTCAATATTGCGGTTATTCCATAGATATTGAAGGTCATTGGCAAAATGGAAACAGAAGGTCAACTACGTCAAAGTTACTTTGTAGTTTAGTCGATAGTCATCCACCAATTTGTTTAATCACATTGTTGTTATATACGTTATTGTAAAAGTGCCAAGCATGTTGGTCTTGGAATTAATTTCCGATGACATGACACATTTAGGTAATTTGATTTGGAATTAAAAGTGACACAATAGGAT